TATCTGAGAAATGCACAAACCTGCCCCCACCGCCCTCTCCTCCTGCTCACTAACTGCAGAACTACAGAGAGGAGAGGCCCCCTACCAAGGCTCTTTGGGGGTCCCGTGGCCCCCTTATGCATCTGCTCTTTATTATGCTCTCCCATGTCTGTCTACCTCCCTCTCTGTAGCCCTCTGTCCCTGGCAGCCGTCCTCACCAGGTTGGGCTGGGGGGATGACAGAAGTCTCCAGTAGGGCTTAGGTCTGAGTCATCCCCAGGGTGACAGAGCTCAGGCCAGCTAGATGCCGCCCATGGAGTAGAGGGGGTGAGCTGTTAGAGCCCATTTGGGGAATGACAGGAGAGTCTGGCTAAAGTTTCCCCAGGCACCGGATTCCCGGCAGTCATGAATTCCTCCAGTGGCCCAGGACACAGGCTTCCAGCCCCCGGGTCCTCCATCGTAGGGCCTGATGCCACCCAGGAATCACATGGGAGTGGTTTTCTGAGGCCCCAGACTCCTCCTTTCCTTCTCTACCAATCTCCAGACCTTTGCCATCCTTCTGTCTCCACATCAAATACATGGGCCCTTTTGTCGGTCTTTTGCTTGTTATAAAGCCTCCTCTTACAGGAAAACAGACAAGGACCCCCAAAGTAATTAACATGGGAATCTGTAAAGTTCTAGGAGCCTGGCCAGCAGGTAAATAGGGGGATCAGCCTGTGATGACCAATGCCCCTTTCAGAGCCTTTTTATGGGAGGGCTAGAGATCTTTATCTACCCTTCTGGCTCCTTCCTCCATTCCTGCAGGTCAGACAGGGAGAAACCTACCCACTCGGCTGGCCCTCTGACATCTCTCTCAGGACACGTGGGGGATGCCAGGCAGATGTCCCACCTAAAGCCACCCCAGTCCCTCCCCTAGACACACCAGCTGTTCAGAAACACTCGGGTTCACTCACATGTTCTGGGCTTCAAATATCTAGCTCTCGCTAGTAAAACCCATGATGTCTGCAGAACTTTTCAGCATAAAATGAACTTTCAGGAATGTTTCCCATGTGCCACAAGCAATGCACAGTAGCCTGACAGGGGGCAGGGCAGGGACTGAAAGGGCCTCATTTCACAGATGAAGCTGCGCTGGAGGTCAGGAGACCAGTCAGAGGCAGAGCCAGCAACTGCTAAACCTCGACATTCTGGAAAAAACAAAGATGGATGAAAACAAAGAGGAAGCCTGGATGAACTGGAATTTTTTTGTTTGTTTGTTTGCTTGTTTTAAAGGAATGATGAGATCTTTACCTACCCGCACCTGCACTCCCCATCACAGGAGCTAAAAGTGAAAACGTGGATAACATCAAGAATTATCGAGTGTGGGTGAGGATGTGGGCAAATGGGCCCCCAGACACCACCGGTGGCTGAGTGGCCTGCCTGAGCCTTGGGAAAGGCATTCGGCTTTGATAATAAACGTTTAAAAATCAGAAAGATGCACGATCCAGGACACACAGGACTTCATGGACTGTATGAAGGGGCAGAGGGGGAGGCGGTCAGACAGGACCTAATGTTCGGAGAGGCTGAGATGGAAGCCAGTGACTGGCCCACGCGGAGTGTCGTGCAGCTGTAAGATGGACAGGAGTTCCACCACACACGGGGCCACAGAAGCTGTGGACAGAAACACAGAAGAAGGGTGGCCAGAAGGGGGTGCGCCAAACGGCTGACAGATACCAAGGACACGGGGGATTTTCCAGGCCATGCTGCATTTTCTCTCTCGTTGTGCGTTTATAAAGGGAATCTACTTAAGTGTTACCCAACTTAAAGGAAACAATTAATCAGCTTAAAGGGACACGTTTTCCTTGGCCTTCCTAGGAATCAGAAGATTACAGTGGGTGCTGGCTGCCGCTATCTCTAGCCAGGTCCCCCCCTCAGCCCACGCTGTTCTCAGTCTGTACACTCGCTTGTTCCCTGCCCCGAATGCCCTTCCTCAGATCTTCCCAGGGGTGCCTCCGTCCAGTCTTACAGGTCTCCGCTCAAAGGTCACCGGCCCAGAGAAGCCTTCCTTAGGCCCCCTCGGTCACCCACCTTGACCTTTTCTTCCTCATCCACGTCCAGGAGCCCTAACGGCAGCTCTATTTAGTCTACCTGGCCCCAGTTGAATAGGGACTCCAGGATGGTGGGGACCTGGCCTTTCTTTTGCTGCATCCCAGAGCCTGGTAGAGAACAGATGGCAAAAAATATTCATTGGACCCATTTGGAATGGAGATGCAAGGGACAGTCTACTTCTTCACCTCTCCAATGGGGAGACTGAGGCAGACTCTTGCCATGCCACTCACTCTTTAGCAGTACGCCACAACAACTACCTGTCTGCCTCACACATCAGAGACTGAACTTCCAGAAAGGACTCTCCTTGAACCTGACTTCTTTTTTCCTAGTTTCTAGTCCAGGATGGGCCATTCAGAAGGTGCCAAATGAAGGCTTGCTGCATGAAAGGAACTGTATGGTTCCCCCCCTTTTCAAAGCTGTGAACAACAGAGGCTGCACAGGTTAAAGGACTTGTTACCTAGGGTCTCACAAATCTGGTAGCACACAGCAGAACTCGAACTCTGGATGCTGGATGTAATGGCTTTCTAGAAAAAGAGCTCCTGTGTCTCTTGGCCCTCGCTGCCCAGACAAATCTGGCCTGGCCACCTGTAAACCGGGCAGGCAGCTCATCCTAGAATTGAGTGAGCAAGGCTCCTCTTAGCGTAATTAGGAAATTAATTCCATTCAGCCTAGATTGATCTGTGGTCAGCCTCTCCTTAGGGGCCCAACAAGAACAGGTAGAAAATAAACAAGGCTTTTTGTTTCTATCCTATCCCTGCATCCTACTCCGACGGATCAGCTGACAGCAGAAGGTATCTTCTGGGCAGGCAGAAGTGGGTGGGAAATGACACCCAAGGCGAACGTGGTCCTCCCTCTGGCAACAGAGATGCGGTTCTCCCACGGCCCGGCTCAGCCCCCACCTTCTTGCGGGAAGAGCAATCCAACTGGTCTTGCAGGCGCCTCCTTGGCAAAGTCTGATGTGTAGGAGCCTCGCGTCCTCCTCCTGTCCCCCTAGGCTCACTCACGATCCCTACCAATCTTGGGAGATCTGTGCCCATCTCTCTTCCTGGAAGTGGCCCCAGGGACACCTGTGGCCTAGATCCCAACCCATCCATTTTGGGATTGGGACAGAGGTGTCAGCCTAAGTGCTCCCACACCTGTTGTCCAGGTCCCTGCCTGGGACCAGACAGAGCAACTTTGGGAAGTAAGCCATGCATCTGCCACCTTCCTTTGGGCCCAGATTTTTTTCTTCTTTGACCCAGTCCTCTGGCGTCACTAGCCCCTCATTTATGGGCACCAGTACCTTTACACCTAGGCCCTGGACTCCAAGGCAGAGGCAGGGAGCCAAGGGAGGCCTGGGAAACTGGGAAAGTCTGACTCCGTTTCCACTCACCAAGAAAGGAAAGAAAATTGGGAGCTTGCCTACTGTATACCCTTCTAGTTCTCCAGGAGGAAAAATTAGGGCCCAGAGAGGGACAGCAACCTGCCCAGAGCCCCACAGCACACATCGGAGGCAGAGCAGGAAGTCTAGATTCCTGATTTCTAATCTGTCCCACCACACTCCACTGGCTGCTCTCTATCTCTTCCTGCCCCAGACGGCTAGGCAAATAACTCAAGCCTATAAAATTACATGACATCAGAGGCTGTAAGGACTTCTGGGATTTTACAGCAAAACACCTAACAGAAGCATCGCACCAAAGAGCATCCACACATGTTCGAGAAGACAAGCTGGGGCCCACAGAGGTAAGGGGACCTACATGAAATCACACACACAGAGGCACAGGAGGACTCTCAGATCCCCACTTAAGCATTCGTTCTGCCAACAGGCTTCAGGAGTTCCAACTGTTGTAGGATGGGGAAGAGGTGGAGTTGGTCTTGAACCTCAGTCCCATTACAACAGTGTGGCCGGGACAGCCTGGTCCAGACTCGTATACACACCAGGGGTGCCAGAGATCACTGTGAGAAAACGGGGTGAGATTTCCCAGTGAAACTGGGTTTCTCACTACTGACCCAGTGCTTTGAAGAACAGGTCAATGAGCCACATATGCCTGCCTTTGTTCCTCCAAAGGGCATGGCCGGGGCTCAGCAGTGAGAAAGAACAGAGTCTCCTGGCACCAGAGGGAGGGGGAAAGGGTGGGTGGAGATGGCTGGGGCCCAGGAGATCACAGATACACGGGCAGCATCTGAATCCAAGTCTGGTTCTTGAGCCCGAGCTGTTTTCCCCAGTCTTGCGCGGAAGAGACTTAACAGGAAGCCTGCCCATCTCTGAGCTATCTCTCTGCTCCCACCATCCCCATCCCCACAGCTCGGGGACCTGGAGTTAGCCTTGCCTGCAGGTGACAGGTACCAGCTTTCGTGACCTTTTGACTGGGACAGGGGCATTGGTGCTCAGAGGCCAGGTGGTCCAGGAACAAGGCTGGGACCTGCTGTGAAGGCTGCAGTGCGGTGTGGGGTTGCGGGGGAGGGGAAGGCCCTACTGGGATGAGGTGAGTAAAAGCTATGGATGCACACATACTGCCCCCACCCCCTGCCCCCCCCCCCCACCCCCAAGCTGTCCCAACTAAGTGTTTTCTGGCTGGGAAAATGCTTCAATAGCTCTGGCTGCCTGAGGCAATTCAATTATGAAATTTACCACATTAGATGAAAACCAGCATCTCAACCAGCCAATTCATTTGCGTCTGGCCACTCTGTTTCCTCCTGCAGGCTCTGTCCGCCCCTCCCTGGCCAGGCCACATTCACACTGCAGGATGGTCCGGATGGATGCGGGCTCAGATGATGGGCTGGTCTTCGGGGCCGGTGGGGTGGCTTTTCCCAGGACTCCCTGAGCAGAGAGGCTGAGCCAGGCTGGAGAAGGCATCCATCTTCCTGGAGACTCCCGGGGCTGCTGACTCCACAGTCTCAGATGAACCCCTCTCTCACCTCCCATTTGCATTCTCCCAGACCTCACCCTGCGCCTGCCTTGAACTTGCAAGGCACTAGCTTCTGGGAGAAGTGCAGGTGGGTGGTGGGAGAAGGCCACCGCCTCAGGGCTCTGCCATGCCCTTCTCATCTTTACTTTGCCAAGGCATCATCGCTTCAAAAGCCTTTGCCACCCGTTCCCCTCAGCTCCCCTTGCTGCCTCTATCACGGGGGTACTGTGCACACACCTGTGTGTCCATGTGCCAGGGCCCCACTCCAGGGGCCAGCACACCCTTGTCTAGGAGCTCCCAGAGTACAGGGCCCTGATCAAGGCCCTTCCGACATAGACTCAATTAGTCAACTAACAAATGAATAAACAAACGGCTCACTGAGTAATACTCCCTCCCCAGCCCCCTGGAGCATCAGCGTGGTAGAAGGGAAGAAGCCAGCCCGGTTTTGCTGCAGACCTCCAAGTGCCAGGCCTGGGTCATCTTCCCCGGCCTCCTGCTCTCCTCCGCCCACAGTGGGTGCCCAGAGGTTTGAGAGGCTTTTAGGGAGGAAGGGGCTGCAGAGGCTGCCTCAGATGCTGAGTGTGCAGTTCCCCCGCAGCCCCTCTCTCTGCACCACAAACATAAATCCAGCTGCAACCCAGCCCCAGGATGAAGGTTTCTACCATTTCTCTCTACCTCCTTCTAGCAACCTCCCTGGAGTCACTTCCTGGCAAACGGAATGACTCAAGACCAAGAGGGCTGCCAGACCCAGAAGACTGACTGACTCCATCACCCTCCTCAGGTACAGCTTGGGGACCCCAGGACCCCTGGTCTCAGAAGGATACCAAATCTGTCCGGGGTGGGATGGACCTTGTGTCCTACTCCCCACTTGCCCCCAGCCCCCAAATGCGAGTCTTTAACAACAGTCCCTAGGAATCCTAACAGTACACCCGGGCCCACTGAGCATCAGTCCCACCTAGGAAGGGGGAGACAGAAGTCAAGGGTCCCAAAGGGCCTGATGCCACATCACTGTCACCATAGTCTGGTGTATGATAAGAACGGGGGTGAGGGGGTTGGTTGGTTCCTGCCTCCCCCCCCCCCGCACCCCCCACTCCCCGTTGCTCGGCAACTTCACTCTTCACTGGCCAGAGTGGAAACCAGAAGGCCCAGACACCTGGTGTTCTCCCTCCTGGCTCACCAGGGACGGCCAAAGCTCTGGGAGTCTTTCTCCTGCTCAAAGCAAGTCAGAAGGACCCAAGAGTGCCCAGCTTAAAACTGCAGGGGCCTGGGTCGCCCTCCACCCCAATCCCTTTGATGGGGTTTTATAAAGACTTTTCTTTGCACAAAGAGAGTGAAAATGCACCTTGGGGACTTCGAAGCGGCGGCACAAAAAAAAGCGTCCGCTGCCCCTAGGGGTACAGTCTATGAAAGGAAAAGCTTCTCAAGCAACCAGAGAAGGAAAAGGAACGGGGGGGGGGGGGGGGGCGTGCCCAAATGCGGTCCAGGAGCCGGGGCAGGATGTGGGGAAGAGGACTGCCAGGCCGGAGAAGGCTCGCTCCGGACCTGCCAGGGGGGCGCCGCCTCGGTGGGCAGGTGGGTGGGACTTAGCAGCGTGTGACCACTGCCCCGCTGCTCCACAGCTCTCCACGCGGAGACGAGGGGTCCCGTCAGGCAGGGCGTGGGCGGCGGGGGGCACGGGGACGGGGGACACTGCCCTGGTTAACTCCCCCACCCGGCCCTCGCCCCCCACGAGGCCGGCGGCCATCCGGCCCTCGGCGTCCAGGGCGCGGGGACTTCGCCCAGCCCGGGCGCGGAGCGCAGCCGCTCACATCCTCACACACAAGCAGCCTCCTCTTTCCAGGATCGATCGTAATTTTTTTAAAAAGAGAGTCTGCGGACTCAATGAATCAACCACTCCCAAGGGAAAGAGTTGTAGCTCCCGCGCGCAACATCCATTTGCAAAACAATTCATTCCCTCGCCGGGAACTCTCTGCAAATACCCTCGCCGGATCCGCAGGCACGCGCGGGGCGGGAGCAGGCGCGCGGAATGGACAGGAGGTGGCCGACGCCAGCCCCCTCCCACGCCACCATTGTCCCTGACTCCAGCCCCCGAGACCCCGCGGCGGTCGGGGCGGCCCGCGGCCCCGAGGACCGCGCCGCGGCTGCCGGGGCACGCGGCCCCCCGGGGGCTCCCTCGGCCCGGGGTTCCCACCGCGGGGCGCGCAGGGCCCCGCACCCCCGGTCCCCACCCGGGGGAGAGGGTGACGGTGACAAGTGCCAGCCCGGAGAATGGGGCGCGCGGCTAGACCCGCCCGAGGCCGGCGTCCCCCTCCCAGCCCGGCCCGGCCCCGCCACTCACCGCTGGGGGCGCCGCCGCCCGCCGCGCTCGTCACCCCGGGTCCGCCGCCGCGCTCAGAGGCCCCGCGCGAGGCTCCACAGCCCCGGCCGCCGCCGCCGCCGCCGCCGCCGCTCCCCTCCCCCGGCTCGCCACAGCCGGAGCGCGCCGCCGCTGCGGTACAGCCCGGGCGCCGCCAACAAACTAGTTTCTCAGGCCTTCCCGCCCCGCCTTCCCGGCGCGAAGCCAATCAGAAGCGGCGCCTCTGTGACGGATGGTCGGCCGAACCCGTAGTTCAGCCCGCAGGGGGAGAAGGGGGTGGTGCGCCCGGGCCGCGCCGGCACCGCGAGGGGGCGGGGCGGGGAGAGGAAAAAGACTTTGACCAGATTCTTAAAGGGACAGGCGCCCGCCGGTCCCCGCGGCCGAAGTTTAGGAACAAAAACCCGCCGGTGTTCTAGAGCTTTCCGAAGGAGAGAACTGTGTAGATTGCAAATGCCTCTTCTGTACCGGGTGCGCGGAACCACGCGTCTACTTGTGAAAGTGTTAGGAAGCCCTTTTGTTTTATTCTGGGTTTGTTTCAATGTTTGGGGTTTTCTGCAGCCACTAAACCCTATTAAGTACTTGGAATATGTATTTTTCAGGGTTCTTCAGCTCTCCGATCCATACCATTTCTCACTAAGTTCTTTATGTAAGCCAGTCTTCAAATATTCATTCATTCGTTCATTCATTCGTCCATTCGCTAATTCACTCCACAAACGTTTGATTGACGCCTGTGCCATATGCTAATTTCCCAACGGGAGCAATGGCCAATAATTTCTACTTCTTGTCTTTTAGCTTTGCATTTCATTCCAGGACCTCAGGTTACTGTGTGTCCGGCTTCTTCATCGGTAACACGGCGGGTAAAAAGTCCTATTTCCGGACTTAGAGGACAAGAACTCCTACGACAAGGTTAAGTGTGCAATCAATGTCTTTTTTTCTCTTTGACTGAAAATCGAAAATAAGATAGGTTACTGAAGGATAGGAAAAGCCCCGGTAAAGTATAGAAAGTCCCAAGTGCTATGGGGCGGGGAGAATTCCCAGGAAGCAGAGGTCACACTGATAGGAGGTCTGAGGTTTATGGAGGGGGAGGGGAGCACCCAGAAGGTTTGGAAGAGGCGGTGGGATTTTGTCTGGTGAAAGCTGGGAAGGAGAACCCCTGCGTAAAGACCTGTCTGGACAAAAGAGACTTCAGGGCTTGAGGTGACAGCAGGGAAGACATCTGGGGGAAACTATGTGGTGCCTAGAGAGAGGACAGCAGAAGAAACCAGATCTGGATTTGAATCCTGCCTCTACCCTCAGGAGCTGGAGAGGGCTGGAGGCAGATTGCTCAGGCTGCGTGTCAGATTCTTCCTGGTGAAAGGAGGATTCTAGAACTTATGGCAGGGTTACTGTAAAGATTAAATAAGAGACCATATGGGCCTGGCACCTAGGAAGTGCTCAATATAGGTTTATTTCTCTGGAGATCTGGAGAGAGTTAAGACAGGAGGGTTCTGGTATTTAAGAGCAGTGTTGGCCAGAAGTAAGAAGTTGGCCAAGTGTGCTGTTAAGATGCCTCCAAGGGGAAAAGGAGGCATCAAAATAATTGGCCCATTAGGGAAATGACACAGATCACATTTGTAGTTTTAGCATCCCACCAATTTTCTAGAGCTAGAGTATTTATATAATTGTTGGTTGGATGAAACTCCGCATACAAAATGGATTCCTAGCAAGCTCATAACCATTGTTTATTATTCCATTCAGGTTCTCTGAGATATTATAAGTGCCAAGCATCTAAAATCGAGTCTGCATTATCATTTCACCCCTCCTTAACTCCACGGCTTAAATTAGGTACTGGAATATATTAAAATCAAATTCCGGCAGTGGAACAAATTCAGACCAAGAACACGTGTTGAGTTATTGAATTTAGATATGATCTGTGAGGAAAAGAGGAGATGAAGCTTGCTTTGCCATCTGTCTCAGTCTTCACTCTAGACCCAGGAGCATAACCACCATCACAGTCCCTACCCCCATGTTGTAATGACCCGCTTATGACCTGTTAGTCAACCCCACTGCACAGGAAGCTCTAGGAGAGCGGGGATTATGACATACGGAATCCTTGCTTCCTCTCACGAGTTGTCTACACAGTTTTGAAATCCTATGAACAAATCTCCTATCAGTTAGAATTAGCTTTTGCTACATGTGACAGAAAACCTAAAATAACTATGAATTTTTAAAAGACAGAAGTTTGTTTCTTGCTCATGCAAAATAAATCTGAAGTTAAGTCATCCAGAACATGGCTGGCGACTCCACAGTCATCAAGCAGTAGAAATACCCTAACCTTAATGCTTCATTTTCCAGTTGCCTCATGGTCCAAGGTGGCTGCTGGAACTCCAGCCATAACATCCACATTTCAGAGGCAGGAAGGGATGGAGCAGAAGAGCAGATGTGTGCCTCCTAACCATGTTAGCTCCATTTAAGCAGAGTGTACTGCCTCTCTAAACAGAGTCCGGGCTCTTTTACCAAGAAAGAAAAGAGGGAATAGGTTCTTCATGTCAATGGACAGTTTGGCCGACACATTTTTCTTTTGCTCCTGTTGCTGTCATCTGTCCAGTCTTCTGGTGGCTCAGAATCTAAAGTCTTAGAAATTCTGAGATGCAACACAGAATGAAATGCAAACTTGTTAATAGATGATTGAACTGTTGGTTCTTCTGCCCTTGGGATGTTCCTTTTTCAGTTTCCTCTGCTGAACTCCCCCTCACTTCCCAAATGATCACGTATTGGAGTCACCTCCAGAAGTTAAGACCTCTTCTCTACATGCATTCACACTCCAGGCGATTTCATATAGGACCCTGCCTTATGTTTGTGTAAACTCTGGCAAATTCCAAATCCATACCCCCACCCCAACTTCTCTATAACTCCTGACCCACAGGTACAGCTGCTTATTCCATGTCTCAGCTTGGATGTCTAGGAGCACCTCACCCTAACATGCCCCCACTGAGCTCCTGCTACACTACCCTGCAAAACATACCCTGCTCCTCCTGTCAATTTCCAGTGTTATGGCTGGAATGGCCCTTGTGGCTCTTATGATCGCAAGATACCCTTCAGCCACAACCATCAGGAAACTTTGAAAATGTAAATGTATTACTTGCAGAACGTGGATCTTACATAGCACCTTTGGGGCCACATAGCGAGTTTCCAGGTAGAGAGAGAGAGTGCAAGCAAACATATGCCTGCAGCTCTGTGTTTATTGGGATTTAGGATGGGGGGCGCTAGGGTTTCATGGGCTCACTCTTTATTGGTAAGTTCCAAACATAAAAGCTGGAATTTAAAGAGCAGGAAGAGAAAAAAGAAGTGGCCCAAATGGTCAGTTACTGAAACCAACCAAGATCTCCAAAACAAAGGAGCTTCAGTGTTGGGGGGGAGGGGGCGGCGGTGGGGAGGGGCAGCGCTGGGGGTGGGGGGTGGCCTGGCTCATATCTCCAGCTGGGATGTGGCTGCCGGTGTATTTATTCCGGATAGCCATCTTTGAAGGGGTTGCCCCTGCCTTCAAAGCGGGAAAAAAAGAGAAAACCTGTCAGGGCTGATTCTACAGCAACTCAATCTTTTGCTCCTATAAAAAGTCTAGGTAACACGCTCCCTTACCTACCTACAGTCCTTGACCAGTTTGAGCCAGCCAGTCACATCCCATTCACGGCGGCCACCAGGCTGCTCCAAACTACTGTCATCTCTTCCCTGGGTCATCAGAGCCTCTGTCTGGCTCATGTCTCTCCTTCTCCTCTGGCCACCCAGAGTCCATTCTCAACATGGCAGCCAGAGGGAGCTTAAGGACAGAATGTGCTGTGGCTGTCCTCCCCTCGCAATCCTCGGATCTCAGAGTGAAGGCCGGACTCCTTATGTTGTCCTGACCTGATCTGGCCCGGACCACCTCTCCCACATCATCTCCCACCTCTCTGTCCTCCCTCGCTCTGCTCTGGAACCCCTGACCCCATTGCCAGGCCTCAGTCAGACAAGCCAAACCCATTCCCACTGCAGGGCCCCTGCCTTTGCTGGCTCTACCTGGAAAGCTCTCCCCAACCCGACGGTCACACAGTTCACGCCCCTGCTTCTTTAAGTTTCTGCTCAAATTAGTTACCTGACCACACAGGCCTACCTGACCATCTCTATAACATCCCCATATTCCCCACCCTGGGGATCCCTGGCCTTACTCCCTAGTACTTACTTCTAATGGAAATCTTATTTATATATTTATATATTGGGGAAGGTAGGGGAAAAGCAGGAAATAGCCCCAACATCTAGAAGCTGACCCTGCAGGTAGAGTTAGGCCTTGGCGTTCTCCCATTGAACACAAAGAATTTCACAGAACATTGGCATCAGACAAGGCCACTCTTGGGTCAAGACAAAAGCAAGACCACTCCATAATCATGTCTCAACACAGCAAGTAATAAGCATGTCTCGAGTCACAAAATACCAACCATCCACCTTTTCTAGTTAATATGAGTGCTGTTTATAAATTACAGCTTGGACCTTGATCTGGTCTCCTTTTTTCAGATACGATGTATGGGGATACCCTATCCTAATATACTCAACCCTGCTTTCTCCAGCACCCAATCTAGAGCAAAACCCTACTTCCTTGGGCCCTTCCCCAAACCACCTGCCCAATGCCTAAATCCTATGGAGGTTCTTCTAACACCGCGGTACCGTGGTGAGTGGTCTGTGCCCTTATGACAAATGATGAACTCAGCTTGGTGTCTCCAGGTGTTCCCGGTTGGCAATACAAACCCACACACATTGACGGTACAAATACACACACCCGTACATTTTATTTGGCCTGGTGATTGGCTGTCTGCTTTCCCAGAGTGGAAGTTCCAGGTGGGCAGGGTCCCTGGCTAGCCATTCCGTTTAGAGACCTAGAACGGTGTCTGGCATGTGGTAGGCTCACAACAAATATTACTCCATGAACTTGGGGTGAATTGCCAGTACCTTCGGGTGCAGTGTCGGTCACCATTCAGCCGGTGGTTTCTGATCTCACAGTTGGATCTTCAATTTTGGGTCCAGCTCCCTAAAGATGGAACTCCTGGTCTGACGGGGCTGCCCAGGGCAGGGCTGTGGCAAGAGATGGCTTTGTCAGCTTCGGCTCCCAAGGGAGGGGCTGGGTGTCAGTGATTGCCCTTCTCGGGGAGCAGCTGGGATCAAGGTCACCAATGAGTCACTGCTTCGGCTCTGGGTGCACAAGGGAGCAGGGCAGGGCTGGGTCTGGCCAGGACGGAGGCTGCAGAGGGTGGAGGGTGTCCTGCCTTCACCTGGTGGGGAACTTTATGAGGAAGAAGTCCTTCTGAGCTGGTTGCTCCTTCCAGCCCAAGGAGCAGAGCCACTTGGTGGTGGCCGCCCTTTAGTGGTCCCCATGAAGCCCCTTCCCCAAAATGTGCTCTCCGCGTTCAATCAGAAAGTCCAACATTTAGACGCTTACTTGCTATCAAAAGCATCGTTGTGCTTCTGTGCCTTACAGGGCATACTGGCGCTATGGGAAGGCCAAGGGGTGGCCGTGGCCGTCTGTGGGTCGGGGGCTCCCACAGACACACCACGGAGGAGACTTTGAGGTCCGGGGCCCAGCTTGTGATGGCAGCCGCCGCGGAGGAGGGGACAGAACAGTGGGAGTGAGCTGCAGGAAGGAAGATAAGAGAACATCACAGAGCAAACGCCTCCTTTTAGAAATGTGGGCTGTGGCCTGTCCCACTCCCTTCCTTCCCAGAAACCAGAAGGCAAAACACAGTATGGAACAATGGTTAATAAACAACCCTTGAAACGCAAAGCTGTGGGTATCGTGGGCTATCTTGGGCTATCTTTGGAGCCCCAAGTGGGAAAAAATCAGAAAGTACGCTTGTAAAAGCATGCATGTAGATGAAGACACTGTGTGAGGACATTCAGAAAAGGGACCCAGTGGTCCCCCGGCAGGAGGCGGTGGGGAGAGGACAGGTGGTGGGGCCCATGAGGGACAGAGGTGGAGACGGTGCTGGATAGTTGGACGGTTTGATTTTTTTTTTAAGATTTTATTTATTTATTTGAAAGAGAGAGAGAGATCACAAGTAGGCAGAGAGGCAGGCAGAGAGATGGGGGAGGCAGGTTCCCTGTTGAGCAGAGAGCCCGATGCGGGGCTCGATCCCACGACCCTGAGATCATGACCTGAGCCAAAGGCAGAGGCTTAACCCACGGAGCCACCCGGGCGCCCCGGGATGGTTTGATTTCTGAACTGTGCCATCTATTGCTTCACCAAAAAAAAAAATTTAAAAGCAAAGTCAGAAGCTTAAAAAATGAAATCCTATGCAGATTAGGGTGGGAAAAAGGGAAGGTTAAAGGAGGTTTGAACTCCATGTGGCCTGGAGTTTTAAAACATATAATCAGGTTTTCTCTGTATAATTAAAAATCATGCAACCTTTAATAAAGGAAGGGAGTCGGGGTGGGAGGAGAGAATGGCATTTGGAGCCAGCCAGGACCACCTGGGTTTGCTTTCTGCCTCTGCCACTTTTTGTGTGACCATGACCAGGTTATTCTGCTCTCTGAGCCTCAGTTTCTCCATCGGTAAAATAGGAATGATAATAAAAGTAATATATAGTTTCTACTTTATAGGATTCTTGAGAAGGTTAAAATAAGAAAAAATAACTTGTATAGAGCACTTGGCCCAGAGTCTTGGACCAAATAACCCCCAAAGATATTAGCAGCAGCAGCAGCTACAACTAGATGTCTGCAGGGGCACCTGGGGGGCTCAGCTGGTTAAGCGACTGCCTTCAGCTCAGGTCATGATCCTGGAGTCTAGGGATCAAGTCCCGAGTCGGGCTCCCTGCTAGGCAGGGAGTCTGCTTCTCCCTCTGACCTTCCCCCTTCTTTCTCTCTCTCTCACATTCTCTCTCTCTCTCTCTCTCTCAAATACATAAATAAAATCTTTGAAAACAAAAACAAAACAAAACAAGACAAAGAACAACTAGGTGTCTGCAAAGTGCCAGGGAATGTCCCTGAGTTACTTAGCGTAAGTGTTCAATTAATTATAGTCATTATTTGGGAATATCATCCTAACTTTAGAGGTGTGCTTTGATAACTCTCCAGCTGGGGTGGGGGGGACAGGAGTCATGTACCTCTCGCTTGCCACCCCTGAAAATCTGTCCCACCCAGTTGGTTGTGGTAGTGGTGGTGGCCTCCAGCCCTGAGGCTTTCCATGAAATGGCATCCATGAAAGCTGTGAGGAAGGAGAAATATAGCTAGGACAGGACTGCAGGATGCCTGGGCCTGGCTCCAGAAGAACTTCTCCAGGGAAAATGACAGTGTGCGCCGTGCAATTCTGTAGCGTGCTCAAATGGGTCCATGCATAGCCGAGTAGGCGTGACACCTAGGAGTTGTTTAAAGGCCAGAGGCTTTGTTCATGGATGGGTTGATTTCAAAATGTTTATCAAATGCTCAGCATGTTCTAGGCACAATGCTGGGAGATGAGCAGTTCCCGAGGGAGACAGGGCTCAGGTGAATAAATTATCATCCCATCCTTTAAAAGAAAACAAATCATGCCCAATGAGGCAGAAGATTCTTGAACTGCAAAATAAGACTAAGAATGTTGTAGAGATTCAGATATAATGTGGTGACAGTGCGGGGAAAGATGAGTTTGGGAGGCGTTTGCTCTGGGCCCTGCTGGGTGAGTCAAGTTTAACAGGGGCAGAGAAAGCATTCCAAGGTGAAAACAAAGAACTGGCATGGGGGGAAATCGCAGGGATAGCTTTCAGAAAAGAAGTCCCTAGGAGGACCATGGGGATCTGGGGGCATGGGGAGTGGGTGTTGCTGGGAGAGGTGAGAAGACTAAAAGGAAAAGAAATGACTGGTTCCTGGTTGTTGTCCTGCTACAGACTCTACCCAGGTCTATCCCATAACAGGCCTTCCCATCACATAAAGAACCACTTGAGGGGCGCCTGGGTGGCTCAGTGGGTTAAGCCGCTGCCTTCGGCTCAGGTCATGATCTCGGAGTCCTGGGATCGAGCCCCGCATCGGGCTCTCTGCTCAGCAGGGAGCCTGCTTCCTCCTCTCTCTCTGCCTGCCTCTCTGCCTGCTTGTGATCTCTCTGTCAAATAAATAAATAAAATCTTTAAAAAAAAAAAAAAAAGAACCACTTGAGCAGAGAAACTGTTAATGTTTATTCCACAAAAGCTTACAGCACAGCAATGAGGTATCTTTATGTGTTAACATGGACACATCTTGAAAACAATGGTATTGAGTGAGAAAACCAACTTGTAAATGGATACAAAGAGTCCCATCGCATTTATGTACATTATAAAATCTTACAAAGCAATGCTCTGAACCACATGCTGTTTGCAGATCGTTGTTTATGTTGTATGCCTGTAAAAACACAATGTATGTATACACACAGGATATGCTGCAGTGTAACAAAATACTTGGGGAGCCTCCGTGATCTGGAGGGTTTTCTGGGAAAATTTAGGTTGTCAAAGCTACCTCAAAGGTATGTGAAAAGCAGGGAGGGCTCGATGACAATAGAAGGGATTTTACAAGTTATTGATAAAAGGGTCAATCCTCCAGGAACAGCCTCAAAATAAGTGATGGAAAAACCCAAGAGCTCTGAAAGGAGAAACAGAGAAATCAGCTGTCTTGGTTAGGGACCTCAACACTCCCCTCTCCGATAGAGCAACCTACTAGGACTACCAAACGCGACGTTGGCAAAGACGGAGAAGATCGGACCAATGCACCAACAGGCTCCCATTCACATTCATGAAACACTCCATCTGACAACAGAGTAGATATTCTCTTTCAGGTGCCCATGAGACATTCACTAGCGCAGATAATATCTTGGACCGTGAAAGAAACGTCAACTAAAAAGAGACACTGAAATCGCACAGAGTGTGTTCTCTGACCATAATGGAAGCAAAGTAGAAATCAATAGCAGAAAGACAAATAAAATCGCTAAACATGTAGGAATTAAACAACACACTTTTAAATAATCCACAGGTCAAGAGGGAAGTCTCAAAAGAAATTTTATAAAAATAACACAACACATCACAACGCAATCAACCTCAACAAGACATCTGCTAAGCTGATACAGTGTTAAAAGCCACAGAAGTTCAATGCCCTGTAAAACCTGTTGTAAACAGAGAAACCAAGGTCTTCGCAAGATGCTGTTCGGCATACATAAAAGAGGACTGGTTGGTGCTGCGCCAGCGAGAAAGTGACCCAAATTTTCTCCCTTATAGAAGAAAAGCAGGAAACTTACACACACAGCTGGCCAACAACGTTCCCTACACCCCGTTCTTCCAACATAATTTCTTCCTGACTTTCCTCCACAGTTGGCAGGCTGTCTGAGCACGATGTCTCAGATGTACACCTGAGTTTGGAAGCATTTCTCTGTGTTTTCTTTTTTCCTTTTTTAGATACAGGACGTGGTTGAAAACCATATGCCACTGAAGCTGTTCATCACTTGGATGAGAGTGGGTCATGGGCAATGAATCATGTACACTTCTGCTATTGAAAAAGACACAGAACTGAATGTCCACAAAAGGACAACATATCCCAGCATGAGGGACGCAGTGAGAGCAGAGGAAAGAGGGGGAGATTCGTGGCACTATCTGCTGACGTTGGACATGAGAAAGAGTCTCAAGTTAATAACCCAAGTTCCTCCCTGAACAGACCAGGAGAAGAAGAGGTGAAAAAATCCACAGTAAGGAGGAGGAGGGAAGGAATACAGACAAGAGAAGAAACCAGTACAATAGAAAATAGGGAAACTCTCTCTCTGTCAAATAAATAAATAAAATCTTAAAAAAAAAAATCTGGTCCTTGGAACAAAATGAAAAAAAAAATTGATAAGCCACTAGTAAGATTCACGAACAAAAAGGGAGAAGATGAAAACTACTAATAGCAAGAATGAAACAGGGGACATCACCACAGATTCTATTGATCCTTTAACATATAAGAGAGTAAAAAACTCATTTTTTTAAGTAACAAAGATCAGTGTGGCATGTTCCAGAAATAATTGAAGGAAGGAAATAATAATCACAGAATTACAGTGCTTTTTTGAGGCTCCAGAATGATAATTAAAAAAAAAAAATCACAGAATCCGTGCTTATAGGGTACAGACCTGGAGTGTCCTGTGAACACAAATTAGAAAACATTTTTTTAAAGATTTTATTTATTTATTTGACAGACAGAGATCACAAGTAGGCAGAGAGGCAGGCAGAGAGAGAGAGAGAGGGGGAAGCAAGCTTCTCGTTGAGCAGAGAGACCGATGTGGGCCTCGATCCCAGGACCCTGGGATCATGACCCGAGCCGAAGGCAGAGGCTTTAACCCACTGAGCCACCCAGGTGCCTCTAAAAACCATTTTTTAAAAGATACTATTTTTGAGTAATATCTACATCTAATGTGGGACTTGAACTTGATACCCTGAGGTCAAGAGTCACATGTACCTCTGACTGACCCAGCCAGGCGCCCTTCCAAATTTTAATAAAAAAAAAAAAAAAGATTTTATTTATTTATTTTAGAGAGAGAGCAGAAGGAGAGGGAGAATCTTAAACAGACTCCCAGTTGAGCAT